TCCGCTCAGTGCCTTGGCGTACGCGCTCATCGTGGACGTCATGGCCGGTGAGCGTACCCTGGAGGAGGCCCGGAGGGTCATCCGGGAAACGCCGGCGGGTGTCTGGGCCCCCCTGTCCGGGATCCGGACCATTATCTTGTTGGAGGACGTACGCGGAGGAGGCCGTCGCGCGGATGCGACGGCGCGCAAACGGTATCGATACCATGTGACCCGGTACGTGATGGTGCAGAACGAGGTATTCGCGACGCTGGCCGAGCGCGTCGGGGCGTGCGTGCTCCACCACCGGAAGGGGGCAAGACATGGGAGCGGAAACCCCGGGAAATGGCAGTTAATTAAGGTGCCGCCCCGGGGCCGGGTTCGCATGGTCGGCATCAGGGTTATTGTCGGTAGTTAGGATGGGGGTTTTTGGGGAAAAGAGGGATTTTTAGAAAAATAGTAGGAGTAACCGTAGACGATGCGAGAGTTTGTAATAATCTCAAATTACCTGCTCGAAGCCATCTTCCCTGTACCCCCTTTCTTCAACCCCTGCCCTCGGCGCGTCGTACACCCGCATACGACTCACGTCGTTCAGCCAGTCAAACTCGTCACACTCATCCATCCCCAACTTCCACGAGTGCTCACCAAAACCACCGCCGAACACGCGCGCTCACCCGGCACACTCAAGTCAATCACCCACGGCACACAGTCACTAGTTTCCGGACGGCTACCATCGAAATTAACCACTGCAACCAGCAAGTCCAGGCTTACCTCATTCGATCCTGAGCACGAAGTTGTCCGCATACAAAAAAATTAAATTCTGGTTGATAGAGGTTGACGCCACCGCTACGTCTAAAAAAAACTCGATCTTGCCTCTGTTACGTCTTAGGGGTGTCGTCCTCGATTCGAACCATTGTCACTTCCGACTCATCATTCTTTTCGAGGACGACTCCTCGCAAACTCTCCACCGGCCTTCGTTGCTATGCAGTCAGTGAACAGTTTCATAGTGGTGACTCCCGGTCCGGAGGTGTCTTGTGCAGCCCAGTCTCTGCCGATCGGCCTGCAACTCAATTTTTATCACGTTTGACACGGCGACAGCCCGTTTGACACGGCGACAGCCCCCCATACAGCGTACGACGACTCACTCATTTCCGGACGCCGGCTACCACCCGCCGGGCTGACCGATGCAACCAACTCACACCCTCCCGTGCACGAAATTGGACAAAATAAATTGTGGATTTGTTGTTAGGATTTAATAATTGCGACGTGCTGGTCCTTTGAGTCAGCTCGCACAGGTGGTTAGTTGCGACAGACAAATTCACATTTCTTGAGATCATTAATACCGTTGGCATGATGCCTGGCTCGGCTGTATAAGTTCTTCAGGGATACATAAAAGTCGGCAATGTCAATACGGCGGTTTTTAGAGAATTCGTGGACGATGCAGGTGGCAGTTGCGTAGCGACATGTGCAGTTGTGGATTTCATTTTGGAAGCGTTCAGTTTCGCAAGCGGGGGGTGTACAGGAAGTAGTGCACTTGGGATCCGACTTGAATTCCAGCAAAGCGTCTGCGGCCTGCAGTGTCGCGTTTGGCCCGATCCCGTCACCTGGTCGCAGTTCCTGAGAGATTTCCCGCCGCAACAGCTGCAGCGTCTCAGTCCCACTTCGGCAGTGCTGCATAACCCGGGCATCCGTGAAACCGTCGTCCATACGACTAAACGCACCCACCACGTCGTTATAGTCGTACTTAAACGGGGACCCGTAGTAGTAGCAGATGATCTCTCCATTCTCTGTCTGAGCCATCATGGCTCCACGTCCGGTTTCACACACGGGGCCCTGCCCGTTTTCCCACATATGCGCACATGTGGCATTGTCTGGCTCCCTCAACAGCATCAACTCCTCAGCTGCCAGCTTCTTCGTCATGTTCCAATGGGCAACATCAGGCCTCCATTCTTCATTCGTGCTCCACACACCCGTAGTCAAAACCGGGGTGCTGCCCGGTTTCCAACTGCTCGTGACCATACTAGCCAATTCGGAGCTGCCCGATTCGGAGCTGCCCAATTCGGGGCTGCCCAATTCGGGGCTGCCCTGGTCGCTGAAAGAGTGTGTGGCAGTAAGCGGCTTTCCGGCGGCCTTCAAATACAGGCCCACACCACCTACTACGCAAAGGGCTGCGATGCCCCCGGCCGCCGCCCACCGGCGCCACGTCTTGCGCTGGCAACCTCGATGCGGTGAGCCCCACTCCAAGTCGAGCTCGACCCCCGTGAAGGCACGCACCATCTCCACCATACTGCCCTCCCCTGCCGGCCGGACCGCGGCTCGAACCACCGACTCCCAGCTTTCCGGCAAGCATGACAACAGGTCAGGCAGCTCTTCTTCTGTCGGTGCACGACCATACACCACCACTGGCATGTGCTCTCCAGTGTCCGCGGCAGCCAGCTCCGCACGGGTCTTGCCGAACACTTCCCGACAAATTTCATCTACCACCCGCGGGTTCTTCCCAAGCGCGCCCGTTTCCTCAACGTGCTTCTCAATGGCACTGAGGATAACGGTCTCAACAAATCTGCCTTCCTGCTCTCCAGAATTCAGAATTCGAAACTTGCTAGAATCACGCATCAAATCGAAAGGGACAACACCCTCTAAAAAATCTTCGCCTTCGCCTTCCAAAGCAAATGCTGCGTTGGTGACTCCGTCAGAGGTCTCCAACAGGGATACTGAGTGGTCCTCTTCAAGAGCATCCTCTTGAGAGTAATGTGGCCTCCGTCCTCTGTTCAGTTTCTGCACCTCAGTCAAAGGCAACAAAACCACGGCTTGGACCTTCGCTTCCCCGGTCACGACGATTTCCACCACCTGCGCAGTGCAGTCGTTCGTCAATTCAGCCAGGGTCCCTTCCGGAGTGAGCATCGACGCCAATAAACCCGTTCTTCCACAACTTGCTGAAGCGGCTACTGTCCTCATCGAATTTAAACTTTAATTTAAGCCCACCGTGGTTTTTCCGAAACATTCCACCGTCAGTCAGGCTCACCGTGCCGAGACTCGAACCATCGACCGACTGATTTCAAAATTGTTGAGTGAAGTTATTCAGAAGAGGTAAAGGCCGCCAGCAATGCAAACGGCGAAACGGTCCGCATACTGCGCCAATGGCAAACGACCTTGTCCGGTGGAAGGTTCTCCTCAACCGGCCGGGCCGCGTCTCGAACCGCCGACTTCCAGCGGCAACAGGTCGGGCAGGTCTTCTTCTGTCGGTGGACGATTGAACACGGCGTTTGTCCTCCCGTATCTGCCGACTCGGGTAATTTTCCTCGACGATTCCTTCAGTCCATTTAACAAGTGGGCATTTAACAAGTACGCCTGTCATGTGTGCACACATCTCACGTCTAAAAAATGATCCCAATCTCGGCGTTTAGTCGAAGTGTGCCATGTCGCCGGCCTAGTTGTCACAGGTGTAAAGACATTTGAGATGTTTTTTGCTTTTCTCTTTCCGGGTTTGGTCAACTTGACGTGTTGCGTTTTCGATGAGCGATGACATGAGCACATGAGGCTGGGTCATGTGTGCCGACACGTGGCCATTGGTGAGGCATACGACGGTGGCTGTGTTGCATTGGCAGTGGTGGATCCGCTGTTTGAAACTTGCGCTTCTACATTCCGGCTCTGTACAGTGGCCATTGCACGCGATCTCAACCGGGACTGCTGTATTCCTCCCAGTGGACTGCTGGTCTTCAGATGTTTCGGAGTGCCGGACCGCGTCAGAGGAGTGCCGGACCGCGTCAGAGGAGTGCTGTGCAGTCTTGCAACTGCGCTCGCACGCAGTGTGATCAAGAATCGTGCCAGCATGCCTCATGCTCTGAAGCGCAGTCATCTCGACGTCCTTTGAATCGTACGGCGACCCGAAGTACCAACAGTGAACCTGGCCCTCAGACTTTCTACACATGACGACCCCCGCTGTTGAGCCGCCCTCACAGAAAGACGACTTTTGTTGTGCCCGCTGTTCCCACATTCCAGCGCACACCGCGTCGTTCTCTTCGCGCAATTGAGCCAACTCAGCAGCCGGAATGATCGCGTACGCGTCCGCGGCCGTCGACGTGACCAACCCGTCGGTGACCAACCCGTCGGTGACCAACCCGTCGGTGACCAACCCGTCGGTGACCAACCCGTCGGTGACCAACCCGTCGGTGCCGTTTAATAAGCCGCTCACGTTGGTCAGCCTGGCGCCTGAACTCGTGCCACTGGTCCAATCGCCGATGGTCATGCCGTTGGTCGTGCCGCTGGTCGTGTGGTTAGTCGTGCCAATGGTCGTGTGGCTTGTCGTGCGGCCGAGCATTCCATCCCAGGATCTCACGCGGTCGAGTGACGAAGCAACGCTGTTGCGCAGCTTCCACAGCACGATGGCACCAGTGGCTGTGCACCCGACCAAGGCGCCTGCGTATAACTTTAACTTGGATAAGCGCTGTCGACGAAAGAAGCCCCATTCCGGATCTCGCACTACGGCTTTGAAGAATAGGTCTTCCACATGGTCCTCGGCTGCTGGCCGGGCTGCAGCTCGAACCACCCATGCCCAGTCTTTAGGCAAGCGTGGTAACACGTCGGGCAGTTCTTCTTCTGTCAGTTCGCGACAGGACAGCACAATGAGGGGTCCTGTGGGTGTTGGTGCCATCGTGGGTGTTGACATGACCACACGTGTGTGGTCTCCAAGCTCCGCACGGGTCTTACCGAACACCTCCCAACAAAGTGCGTCAACCACCAGCGGGTTCTTCTCAAACGCACCCGTTTCGTCAATATGCTTCTGAATGGAACTGAAGATAACGGACTCGATAAAGTCGTCTGTCTGCTCACCCGAACGGAGGATCCTAAACTTGCTGGGGTCATGCACCAGGTCAAAGGTGGCAAAATTATCCTCTTCCATGTTGTTGTTTGCAGTCGAGTCAGACGTTGTTGACCTCCTATACTCAACACGCACGGAATCGCCACGGGTTCCGTTGGCGTAAATCTCCATCGAGCAAGTAGCCTCATCTGATGGCTTTGTCTTGCTCTCCACGTCGTGCAATTTCCACGACTCACTCCAGGGCAACAAGACCACGGCACGAACCTTAGCTTCCCTACCAGCCACTCCAATCTCGATCATTTGCGCAGTGCAATCCTCCAATGTGGACATGGTTCCTTCAATAGTAAGCAAGGACGCAACCATCCCCGCATTCATATCACTTGTTGAAGTCGCTACTACTGTTCTCATTATCGTAAAGTTCACTTTTAATTCTTGCCCGTAAATATCGGCCTCAGGCCTGGAAGTCAGACCTGGAATTCAGACCTGGAATTCAGACCTGGAATTCAGACCTGGAATTCAGACCTGGAATTCAGACCTGGAATTCAAAAGGTCACTGAAGGGTTGGGTAAGTGGGGTGAACAAACTCTGTGGTCACTGGCATCGGTATGTACTTGGAATCAGAGCGCATCCGATCCGATCCGATGTACACCTTCCGAGACCGCGGTAAGTGTGTGCGTGCGTGTGCGTGTGTGTGAGACATAACTGGACGGTCATGTAGGTAAAAAATTGAGAACAACCACAATGAAGTCGTCCGAAGTTAAGCAGGATTCAATAAAGCTCGAGAGCGCGATCGTGAGTCTGAGTGGGATCGCGTTGCCCGCTGTGTCTTTCACCCAAGGTTCCCATCCGACGATCGTAGATGCATCCCGACTGCCCAAGTTACACTGGGTGAAGGAATCCAAGTCCACATGGCAGCCGGAACGAGCGGCTCTCATGAAGGGTTTGAAAGTGTTAAGAAAGCTACCTGACGGCGTGTTGGGTGAACACCTCCCCTCGGGATGGTTAACCCATGAGTCACACCACCACGGGTGGAAGAAGGCCATGCTTACGGACCCGGACGAGCACGTCAGTCGATGGTCGACTTTCGTGACCAACCCACACTTCGAACACCGTCTCCTGACGACCACCAGCCAATTCCTAGAAGCACTGAACCACATTGCCAGCGAAAACCCCCACCATTGCGGCCTTGATCATCATGACAGGACCCGAGTTCATAAATGGGTAGAAAGATTCGGACCAATAGCACGCCAGCACAACCACAACTCCCATGAACAAGTCCACCACATTGTTCATCAACTACCTGAAAAGAAGCTCTCCAAACTCGTCGACAGCTACGCCACCTACCACCGAGACCGTGACTTCGCCCTGCCAGTTCATGGCTCATCCCACGACCATCATCACGACCATCATCATGACCATCATCATGACCATCATCATGACCATTATCATGACCATCATCACGACCATCACCACGGACACTAGATGTCCATCGTCCCGGCTATCGGCTTCAGACGCTGTCTCAAAGCTGGGTGGCCGAAGACCGCGACACGCCGAGAGCGACATCCAGAAACCCCCACGGACGGGCTCCTCCCCTCTTGTAAGAGGGTCGTCGCCGGCGGGTCGCCTTTTTTATCGTTTAATTGCTTCCCGTTCAATGACTGTTCCTTTCCCGTTCGATCTCGTTGCCATTCTTCTTCGAAGAACAAGTCCTTAGAAGAACAAGTCCTTCGGGGAATAGGTCCGGAAGGTTCACTCGCCAGACCTCATCCACCCAGTCCCATTCGCCAGTGGTTCTAATACCTCTCCCCATGGGCATTGTCAGACGAGGGAGGCCATTCAGATGTCAGCTCGAGAAACCGCCCCGCATCGATCAAATGTTGAGCCAAAAAAACCGGGGGCAGTTTGGGAGAGGAATCGCCAAACGGCGAAAACCTGGTTGGGGTAAGACGCTGGCTGGAATGAGGAGTTAATTGCAGCGGGCGGAGGACACGACTGTGGTGTATTGGTGGGTGACTTTTGGGTTAAACAATTCGCGAGGGCCAGGGGTGGTGGTCAAGGACGGGGGAGTGGTCAGGGAAAGTAGTGGTCAGCGTCATGGGGAAGTGGTCATGGGGAAGTGGTCATGGGGAAGTGGTCAAGTGGAGAGTCTTGTCCGTGGTGGGTTGGGGCGTCCCTGTTGTCGTTGTCCCTGGGTTCGACTCACGCCCCTCCTACCTCAGAAGGAATTTGAAACTATGCCCAGGATTTGGATCTCTGAAGTGTTCAAGACCTTCGCGCGTATCGGGGTCGATTGCTGTACATCATTGTACCAAACAAAAACCATTAATTTTTTTCCTTTAACACAACTAACCGCCAGGGAAGTCGCTAACCTTTACGCCCTGATGGCAAAAGCTGGCATTACGAGAGGACTGGCGCTATTCCAGAACGGAGCCACCGCCAGGATAGGTCCTTCTGTTACACGTGGCCGAGGTCGAGGCCGAGGCCGCGGAAGAGGCAGAGGGCAATAGGATACCGGACGGCGATCTAAACCCTAAACCCTAAACCTTATTAACCGAAATTGCCCACGACATTCAGGCAGTAATTAAATACTGCCAAAAAGAAGACACCGCAATCAATAGGAGGAACGTTTTTCGAAGACGGTGAAGAACCAGAATGCGCAAAGGAAAAAAGCGAGACATGACAATAGAAGCCCCACTGAACCAGATGCTAAGACATCACTCGGCAGTATCCGCTTACCACAAGCCAAAATAAAACCGTCACACAAGTCCGCGACAAGCCAAGCGTGATTGTTTTCTGGGGACCACCCGGCACAGGCAAAAGCCACAACGCCAGATGCTTGACCGAAGAATAAAGCCGTCTGGACCATGGGTACACCGGCCAGCCAACAGTAATTTTCGACGACTTTTACTCGTCAGAAAGATACTACGATATGTTAAGATGGCTGAGTGAAAATCGACTGACTTAAACTACGTGATAACTAGCAACCAAGACCCAGATGAGTGGTACCCTCAGATTCCAGATAAAAGCGCAAACCATCGCGTCCTCGAGGGTCTGCTGGGGGTCCTCACTTCGTTTGAACCTCCTTGCCTTGTTTTGATGTAACTCGAACGTTGCACCCGGCTGGCCGTATCTTTCCACCCGGCTGGCCGTATCTTTCCACCCGGCTGGCCGTATCTTTCCACCTCGTGTGGGTTGTGTTTACCATCTTCATTAGGAGTGGCCACTTGGACGCGAACCACCTTGGCGTCTCCGGTCCGTTCAGGCACGGGGTCGACGAACACCACGACGATATCTCTCCTGTTCGGTCGATGGGTCTTCCTCTAACGGCCGGTTTCTGAGGAGAGACTCGACCATTCGCTCTCGGAGCATTTGTTGTCGCACATGCTTGCGTTCTTGTTCCCGGCTTAGTGGGATCATGTCCAGAATGGGGAGTTTGCCGAACACTGCCTCGTACGGGGATGTGTTTATCGCAGAGTTACGTTGTCCACGCTGGTGAGGTACTGACCATTGTGGTTCGTCCTGACCGTGAAGTGCGAGAGGAAACTTTGTAGCTCATTCTTGCTGTTGGGGGGCGGTGCGCCGGCGATTGCTCGAAACTTCTTCTCCTGGACCTTTATGCCCGTCTGGCCGACGACGTGCCCGAGGTACTCCACTTCATCCTTGAACCATTCGCTCTTGTCCAGGCGCAAGTAGAACCGGTCTTCCATTAAAAACCCGTACGCTGTCCAAGTCCTGTCCACAATGTCGTCGATGTAGCATTCTCTCCAAGCAGCGGTGCGAAGCAGGAATCCATTGAGCGTTGGAACTCAGCGAGCTAGTCTTTGAGAACTTGGAACTCAGTCTTCGAATGAGAGAACATTGAACTCAAAAAGACTAATCGGAGTTATAAAGGCGGTGAGCGCCTTGCACCGGTGCTCGATTGGCACGTTCCAGGTCATGTCTAATGTGCAATAGTATCTCTGTCTAGCCAGGTCGCAGGTGGTCTCAGATGCGTGGAAGGGGGTAGGAGATGGCCGCGTTGAGCCTGGGGTAGTTGATGACGCACCTCCATTCTCCGGTTTTCTTCTTAACAAAGTGAGGAGCGGCAGACCACCCGCTCTTGGAGAGTCGGATGACTCCTAGCTCCAGTTGCTTCGCGGCCTGCTTCTTCAACTCCTTTAGCATTTCGGGTTCGTACCCTGGCCTTGTGCGGGCGTCCTGAGACCTCGAACCGTGCTTCGTACTTGACCTGCGCCACCTTGGGGTCTTCCCACGTGTCCTTGAACTCCTGTCGTGGCCCCCCTTGGTGGGTCCAAGGGCGGGGGCAGAGTGCCGGATCCTAGTACCGTGTCGATTCTCATGCTTTGTTTTGAGAATGGCAAGCCCGCTCTCTGTGTCGCGCTCTCTAAGTTCGGCGTCGGTATCCATGAAGAACTGCAACGGGGTATTACATGCCTGGGACATGACTCTCATCAGCACACGACACAACAACGTAATCCTCCACAAAGCCCCCCTCATAACACCGCGAACCTCCTGAGACCGTACTTGGCGTAGCATCCGCAGTCTCGCACGGATGCTCGCCCTTATCAGATCATGGGTAACCCGTACTCGTTGTAGGTAACTACCAATCCAATCCTGCCTGATCGTCCGACATATATGTAAAGCGCATTCCCTATCGTGGGTTTCACGCGTTCTATTCGTTGTCGACTGCGCTGATTAGGTCTTTTGCTACGTTCGTGACGTGCTTGGTTTTCTGTATAATCCGGCGAATCTTCACCAGCGAGTTTCGAACGCCCAACTTATGGATAAGTTAAGATATAAGGATCTACGAACAATGGATCAACGAACGACTCAAAGACGAGTCGATAGTTCACATAAAGACAGGCTATGTCAAAGCCCTACTAAACCCATACGTGGCCTTCCATGCAGTACCACTTGCGCATCACCAGCAACCATACTACAGTCTTCTGGACCCGGCAGGGAACAGTTATGCAAAGATGCCGATGGGCGCGAAGACCAAGATGACATAGTCGTCGCTGCGGACACGAACTCGACGAACGATATAGAAGGATAATCAATCACTTATGAGCCTTCGGGTTTAAGATCAACCCGGACAAGTCTTCGAAAGCGGACTCATCGCTACCACTTACACACACGATAACGACCAGACAACCACCTCGTGGCCTGGAGGAGATTATGCGCGATGATTCATCCGTATATAGTAGTCTCGACTCAGAACCAGATATATCCGATACTATGTGTGATTTTGAGTAAGGCTGTCCTTGCGATGTTTCTGTCACAGAGTGGATGGGCTTCCGGTATGCGTCCTGGTAGTATGTAATGCGGCACACCTTTCTCCAATGTTTCTGGGTACGTCCAGCAGGTCGAATTGCCTCGACTGTGGGATTCTGTTCCACAGCAGTTGAATCATGGCGGTTTCTCCCATGTTGAATGCTGCATGTCGGACCGCGGCCGCTACAGAGTCGACCCAGTCTTCGAATCGCTCCTCGTCGGCTTCGGGCGGCTCCTCGTCGGCTTCGGGCGGCAGACTCGTGAAACCCACCCTCTCGTTTCTTCGGACTTGTCCGTCGGCTCGGGAACCTCGGCATGTAGCGGAAGCCCACAGCACCCTCTACTTATCCAGCAGCTGTCGCCAGTGAGTTGTCCATGGTAGGTTGGGAGGCCGGGGCATCACTGTTGCCGTTGTCCCTGGGTTCAGCACAGCTGTTGATGACCGTTGGAGCGAGCAGGCCATGGTGACCACCACCGGAGAGACTGTCCATGCTGTTGTATACGGTTATCGCTACGCCGACATAGCGGGAAAAAAATTTCAGACATAACACTAAGTCGTGTGCACACTAAGTCGTGTGCGAGGTCACCAGCCGTGATGTCCGGCACTTGTCCTGGCATGTGTGGGTGTTAGACCATGTCTTGGACAGCGCGGGTTGTTTCAAACAAACCGGCTCCAACAATTTGTCCCCAACATGATTCTTCACACTCGGATCCCTTGCGTGCATTTGGGGCCACGGTTCGTGTCCGAGCATGTCCTTGTTATGCTTCATGCGGGAGTCCGCTCCGTAGGTACATTACTCGTCATATTGTGCCATTACGTTTGTCCCCACTCCCGTTCTCGTTCTCGCGTCCGAATTTTTTTACCATGAGGACATTTTCTTTCACAGGGTCGAGCGAAGTGGGCCTGGAGTTGTTGGTTGCGCTGGTTAACCCGGATGGCAGCCGGCCGGAAACTAGCGACTGTGTGCCGTGGGTGATTGACTTGAGTGTGCCGAACCAGCGAGCTTGTTCGGCCGTGATCCTGGTGCCTCGGGAGCACGCGTGGAAGTTGGTTACGGGTCAGCGTGACGCGTTCGACTGGCTAACCGACGTGAGTCGGATGCGTGTGTACGACAAGCGGTGGCAGTGGGGGTCCCAGACGACATGGCAGGCGCCGGAGGCGGGACTGACTGCGTTGGACGAGGATTCGGTCGACGGGTCGAGCAAGTACGTGCAGTCGGTGATCGTGAAGGCCATCGAGAAGCGTTTGGAGGCGAGCCGACTGACGAGTAAGGAGCAGACCGACCCAGTGTGGTTAGACGTGTTCGGAAGGCGGCGTGCGAAAATGCTTACAGCAAACACGCGAGGCGAGAAGGTGCAGGTGGTCTACAGCCGCCCGGTAGTGGAAGAGGAGCTGGAAGAGTTGTTGCCAACACTCCCGACAGGGTGGCGAGAACCGGTACGGGAGGGCGCGCATGTGTCCGAGATCCCGACCGAGAAGCCCATCCAGAAGACTAAGCCGACAGAGACCCGAGTGACCCTGGGAACCTCATCGGGAACGAGACGCACGTGGGGCGACTGTATCCGGCCTGCCTGTGTTGGGAGGTTTTACCATAGCGGGTGTTATCACGTTGATTTTCATAGACAAGCCGAACATGCCGACGTTGAGCCAACAGCAGCTGCTTTCCGTGGAGACGGACTGCGGCACGAATTCGAGCAGCAGCGTGACGTTCCTCGATCCCGGGAATACCTACGCGGACCCGTGCGAGGGCGAAAATGGCATACTTGCGTGCACACACGGCAAGTCCGGCAACGATATCGACTGCTTCCGATTCGGCGGGTACGCCAACACCTTTATGGACACCTGGGAGGCTGCGAAGCACTACTTGAGCCCCGTCCGCTCCGGCGTGGCCACTTGCCTCAACGCCACTGACGACCTGCAAGCGGCAACCAATCTGCGGGCGTCCCGTCCGTGGAGCCGGCTGGAGCAACGGCTTCTTGAAGTCTTGGCCAAGACGAACGAAACTTCTCGAATGCGTGCAGGTGAAACGCTGCCGCTGCCGTGGACGCGGCTGGAGCCTAAGGTGGACGAGATCGTGGCCGGGGCGAACCAGACGTTCCAAGCTCGCAGCATCCTCAACTCGAGGGTCCTGAGTCCGAGGGTCCTGAATCCGAGAGTCACCAACCCTAGCGTTTTCAGCCAGAAGGTGCAAGAGCTGAAACAAAAGATGCCACAGTTCGTCCCCTCTGATGCCACAGCCATAGCCTTTATACCCGGGCAGAATCCGATAAGCGATCGGTGTAGCTTCTCCGCAGTCACCAACTGCACAAGTCTGGAAGCCATCAAGGACTGCTTTTGCGAGTTCCTGCACCTCGAATACGAAACCGGAGGTCAGAAGTCGGATGTCTCCGGTCGCTTTACCAACTGGGCACACGTCATTGACCTTTTCAAGGTGATCGAGACGAACAGCTGCCGGGTCACCTGCCGAGGCGAGACAAAGCCAACTTCCCTTCCCACTGCAAAGACCACTTCCAAAACCACTTCCCAGAGCGTCCTCAACTCGAGGGTCCTGGATCCGAGGGTCGCCAACGCGAAGGCGCCAAGCAATAACGTCGGGCGCTTGTCGATAAGTGATCAGTAGCTTCCCCGAAGTCACCAACTGCACAGAAAGTCTGGAACCGTCAAGGACTGCTTCTGCGAGTCCCTGGAGCTTCACTACGAAGCCGACCGTCAGAAGAGGGGTCGCCCCGGTCGTTCTGTAGCCGGAGTGAACATTCTTAACTTTCTGGAGCATGTCGAGATGAACAGCTGCCGGGCCACCTGCCGAGGCGAAACAAAGCCAACGTCCCTTCTCGCTGCTCACTCAGACCATTTGCCGGGCCACTTCCAAGACCATCCACTAGTTTTTTTACTGACAACTAAGGACGTGTTGGACGAAAGATTGGTTGAACAAAAGAAGGATCACACTGTGCGACGGGAGGCTGCACTAGTAAAGGGATCGCTCGAAACGACAGGTGGAAGTGAACCTACCACTATCTTGTCTAGAAAATGGTCCGTTGAGTGACCTCGCACAGGACTTATGATTGGGGCTTGTAGTCATGTTCGGTAGTAGTCCTGGTGTCTCGGGTTATGGGTCAGCGCGACGCGTTCGACTGGCTGGCCGACGTGGGTCGGATGCGTGTGTACGACAAGCGGCGACCTCGGGTACAAGAGACGGGCGACCTCGGGTACAAGAGACGGGCGACCTCGGGTACAAGAGACGGGCGACCTCGGGTACAAGAG